CTGGCACAAGGAATGTGAAGAGAATCACTGGTCCATTTGGATTAGCCTATATTTTAAGATGGTGTGTACATCATCATATGGTAGTAGCAGGAGCTACTATTCCAAAAGATCGTATCTGTACATACCAAGTAAGCAAGACCAGGGACCAAACTGATATGGGTAGTAACTGACAGCAAAATACTGCAATGCAATTCCTCAGTTCTCCCTGAACTTTAAATAAGAGAACATCAAATATTATTCGTGTAATAGTGTCTTTCCAGTTAATTTAAATGTTCCACTAAATACATCAAAGGGTATTCATGTAATAGTGATACTAGATAAGAAAAAACATGAGGTATATGTCAAAACCTTACTTCCAGAGTCCTGCCTGAAGGCTCGATATCAAAGATGCGGTGCTCATTAAAATGTAAGGTGATTGTCCTGGAGTTCCTCTCTCAAGTATTTTTTGGGGAAAAGGAGCTACTTAAGACACTTTTTTTAAAAAAACCCCACTTTCCTATTCAGCCAGGACAGTATATTCATACAGGAAAATCTCCTTTAAGAACCTTGATAACCTACTGAATACCTGTGCTCTACTGAGAGTATCTTTTAAAAATAGAGATCTATATATTCTGTGCAAGTGCTTCTGGATATCTGCATGTTTACACAAATCATAATATTTTTGCACTTCTCTTATCAGCTGGTTGAATATTCAACACTCTTGTCTTTTAATGCTTACAATAAGAAGTTACTTTGTGCCTGATCCTCCTTCATTTTCTCATATATTCTGTCAGTAATCACTATGTACTATCTCATGTCTTATCAATTTTGGGAGCTGATAACCTGTCTTTATAAGATCAGCAGTGGATTCACTGAACTCTTTACCTTTTAGAGCTGACTCAACACATTTACTATATCAATGTTCTGATATCTTCTGCAAACAATTTGTTAGGTACTTGGCTAAAGTTTTCTAGAAAGACACCTAAATGAAGTTTGTTAATAATTGATTTACATGCAAAAGAGGTTTGTCTGTGAACTCCTGCTGACTGCTAGCTGATGTGTGTGTGTTTCTACGGTCAGCTGGCTAGATGTCAAGAGTGATTTAAATGTTTATGCCTCATGTGATCTGAGGTATCTGGAAGTATCATGTGAGGTGTTGTTTGCTTTCTGGTTCCTAATTTTAAACACAAGCCTTTTCCATGTCAGTCTGTTATTGGGTCTGTGAGCTACTTTGAGACATTCTCCTTAGAGAACTGTAGTTAGAGTTTAAAATTAATTTTCCAGAAAACTTGGTTCATTTTGCAGGAAGGCTAATTTATAGAACCCAAAAGAAGCCAGTTATCTGAGGAAATCATTCCAGTTAAAAAGTTATGGTAGTTGATATATAGCCAAAGGTATTTGCATTTCAGATAAAAGTGGTAAAAAAGCAATCGGTGGCCTCTTTGCCAGATAGACTATAGCTCCCCCTCTCCCCATTTAATATATAGTTAGTATTTTTTATTATTATTATTACTTTTTTTTTTATGTATTCCCAGATGAAATTTAAGATCCTCCTATTCATGGCTGTTGTTGAATGTTCTTTTCTATTTGTTTCCTGAGTGTTACTAAGGCCAGTCACTTTCCAGGGTGTAATTTGCTTATCGTCTTCTGCTGGGAACTGTGCATCGGTCTTAAGGATAGTGATAGACAGGAGTAACAAGGTATCCTAAAGCTAGTTACTATAGTTCTCAGACTTGGAAAAGTCTGTAACCTCTTTTAAACTCCCAAATGAAACTTGTGAATGTGCTTTCCATAAAGTTTAATCAAACAGGAATGCATTCCAGGAGGAGATCTAGTTTTGTCAGGGCAGTTAAGCAAAAAAACCCAGCAAAGGATGCTATAATATTTGAAGTGAATTGGGCTCATCTGTGTATTAGAGTGAGTTCTGCTGGGATTACTGCCTTTGTGAAAAAGCAGAATATGCTAGAACTGACAGATCATCAAATCTGTTGGAAGCCCTTTTTTCTGCTGAATATGAAATCTCATATGTCCAAATGTTGCAGTTCAGAAGTCAATGCATGTATTGCAAAACTGTGAATTGGGGAAGTAAGGGTACTGCTTGAGGTCTTGTCTTGGACACCTGGTTTTAACTAATGCTGATGTATTTTGCAGAGCTTCACTTGACTGTTTATTTTGTGCATTTATGGGGTCAGTCTGCAGGCTTTAGAAAGTAAGAACTTTATATAATGTTTCCAGCAAAAAGGCTTAGAAACTACAGATACTGGTAGGTGAGAGGTTGAGGACAAAAACTGCTTACAGATTACTCTGCCCACAGATGCTTTCTGTGTATATGGCCTGCAAGAAAAGGGAAATGTGTTTTTTCTACTGCTTTCAAATTCATCGCATAAAATTCAGAAAGGTGTATCCTTACCCTACAGAATTAATCTTCAGTATGATCTTTTTTAACCTGTCACTTATCAAAAAGCCACTAAGTAGTTCTCCATCCAAAATGTAAATCATTAACACTGTTAAATTGTGTGGCGTGAGGACTGAAGCCCTTGCATATTTCTTTCCATAATCTGAAATATCAAAATTTGCATTTTATTCCCTATAGCTTCATCCTGAGCCCTTTTCATCTTACAGAATATACTTTAGAGAAGAAGTTGTGAATTACAGTGAATAGCAGTTTCACTGTTAGTATGGAAAGGTAAACCTAAAAAAAAGGCACTTTCTGTTAGACACTGCTTCATTTTTCAACTCCACTATTGTATCTTGGCACAGGTGCAACTTGCCCCTTATCTTTTGTTTAGAATTACATAAAATTATCACTTTTCAATTTGTTCCTGATTATCCCTTGAGTAAAAATTAGTATGTAATATTGCTCATCTTCTGCTCTTAATTGGAGCAGAAGCCTCTGTCCTCAAGAAGCTTGAGAATAAGATATCTTAACCAAATTAAACTTGCAGTTAGCTAAAATCACTTCTTTAAGTTCAAGTGAGAATTTGTACAGCTTTCTGCTTTCATTACTCTTCTTGATAAATGTATCTTTATGATAATCTGCTTCAGTTGTGAGTCTTCCTACTCTAAGTAGGAGTGCTTATAATTATTAGAGTGCTGTTTGGAAACCTCAGCAAGTTCTTAAAACTCTCATATTCTAGATGTTTTTGTAAGTCTTTTGAAAGATGTCTTGCTGGAAGAACTTTATTTTTCCCAAGGAAATGAAATCGCAGGATAGAACAGAATGTCACTCTCCTACTTTGTTTTGCATTGAAACTGAAGACAAAATTAACCTGTTCAGCCCTTGGCAGGTCTGCTGTTGAAACTGGCTAGTCGTGAACAATTGATATAAATAGAATTACATTCTGTTCTCCTTCTAATTAAAAGCACTGATACTGCTTAGGCATGAGACTGTGGAGCAAGCTGTTGCCTTATAGCTCAGTAAGCAATAACTAAACAGCATTTTGTGAGGTTACAAGACTGAACTGCAGTAAACTCTTTCTAGGATGTGATGCAATACTGTCATCTCCCTTACTATGCTTTCCAATATATCAAGAGTCCTTGAAGTATGACCTAAAATAAACTGTGGTCAGCTACTGGGTCTTTTAACATTTCACTTAAGACTACAGATATAAAAGCACTACAAACCTAACAAGAAAGTAGGGATAGTTAATAAGGAAGTCCTGAGGTGTATCTTTTGTGGTGGGGTATAACCTGCAGTGATTAAAGTTTCAAGAGTGTGGTTGTCCAGGTCTATGTTCTGAAGTCCTGTCCTTTTTCAAGTCTGCAGTGTTTCTCTGAAAGCATCTCTGTCTTTCCAGTTAAATTAAATGTTCCACTAAAAGATACTATCTCTTTCTTTAAACCATTACTAGGAATCAGTGTTGTGTAGAACCTGAACTCTTTTGATTAAATGATTTACTGAAGTAGGGGGAAAAAAGCAACTCTGTGGGTAGGCCTGCATTAAAAAACTTCAAAATGAAGCATTGACAAGTCAATAGGATGGAGTGATGCACACCCCAAAAAGGTGGGGGGTTGTGGAGCTGCAAGGAGTGGGGGGAACCCTTAAGAAGTAGCTCACTCTTGAATTTTTCTAGTACAGAGAACCTTTTCAGTTACTGCCTTTTTGGTTCTTGAGGGGAAAAAAATATTAACCATAACAGAATGTAGAAAATTTCTCTGGAAACTTGCTACTGAAAACTGTAAGAGCATTTTTAAAGCTTAGTTCTAATACAGAAATTATATTCCTATCTTAATCTAGTGTTAAAATAAATAAGGGAAAATAAAGGAGTACTGGCATTTAGTGTATCTCTCAAACAGTGAGTGCACTTCAGAGAAGGTACAAATAACAAGATCCTTCCCTCCAAGTATTACTAATATAAAGTATCAAAAAAACAAAAAAAATGAAGACTGAAACTACTGTTGCATCCAGACCTGAATGGAAAAGATATGAAACTGTGTATTTGGGTTATCATGCTAGTCAAATAAATCTTTTGTAGCTCAAGCACAGCTGGAGGTGAAGAAGTGAAAATAAAAAACATAAACAGAGCTGCTTTTTCTCACTTTTGACTTTAACATCAGATTGATAGTTTGTAGGCAGCTGTTTAAAGAGAACAGAAGGACTTGCATGTGCAGTTGCAAAAATCTGAAGAAGTCTTTCAGAAAGACTGAGTTTGCACTTTAAAACGCAGATAACTTTGATAACATCTGAGACCAACTGTTTTAATACCCATGGCCTAACAAGACCTGACACTAGATAGTCTGCTTTTTGAAGTTACAGCTGTTGATACAGAATTATTCTACATGGTGGTTCCTCAGCTACTGATTTTTGAAAACCTAAGTATTTTCAATTTATGGAAAATGTGCATGCAGTATATTGTTTTCATGTAATATTTTCTTTTCTTTTTTTTTTTCATCTAGTTATGAAGCTTTGTGGTATCTCTGGAGGCAATGATACCACGAGGGCTACAATATTAAGATGTGTATATTGTAAAGTAAAATGTTAGACACTTAAAATTAAAATGTCTCCCTTTTATATCTTTCAGTTCCAGGAGACTTGGGCAATCAGTTGGAAGCAAAGTTAGATAAACCATCAGTAGTGCACTATCTCTGCTCTAAGAAGACAGACAGTTATTTTACACTGTGGCTGAATTTAGAATTGCTTCTTCCTGTCATCATTGACTGCTGGATTGATAATATCAGGTGAGACCAGAAATGTTGCTCTTTGAAGTTATCTCCTTTCCTTAGACTAACATGCTTTGTATAGAATGACTGCCTTAAACTTCCTTTTCTGATTCAAGACCAGTGAAAAACGTTGCTAGGAATTCTGCTAGGTGGAGTAACAGGATGCATTAGAAGATATGGCTCTGTTGCATCTGAGGTAGCTGTTCACTGATGAAAAGCGGAGGTTCTCCATGAATAGTTTCTCCTACTTTCTCTCCTACTAGTTAACTGATGTTGGTTTGAGCACTTACCAGACACCTCTACTGGCTTATCTAAAGCAGAAAGGTTTCTACTTTTTTGATAAGTACTTAACGTTTTGATGAGGCAAGGGGAAGGAGGTTCATTGGGCAGCTCAGAGGGACAGGCAAGGGGGAATGGGAGCTTGCACTTGCACTTGTGCTGGCAATGTGTCATTAGAGAGCAGTCTCACGGGCAGCAGAGACACATGGGGTTCTTTAAGGGCAGTCTGGAAGTCTCTTCAGAATTATTTTGGTTTTAAAAAATTGGCTAACGAAAGGCTTCCAGACTAATTCATCATTCGGTCTGCTTCACTAAGGTTCCTGTAAAACTCATATAAATACTCTGTGAAAACAACAAAAACTTAGCATGTGCAATTTAAAACCATGGTATTTTATGTGAATGTACTGACCTGTTATGTAGTTGTACCGCTGCTTTACGTCTTGCTATAAGCCTTATAGACTAGAGATTTTTCATGTGTGCAGGTTTGAGTATCAGTTCAGGTTCTAAGATTCCATCAGGTACCAACTGTTACTGGTGAAGAAATACCAAGTACTACCTTATGCTGGTATGGGTATTCTAGTTAAACAGCAATGAATTATTTTTATCTAGGAAATTTTTTCTGGTATCTAATTTTACAGGTATTTTATCTTCTACTTCCACATTCTTCTGTTTCTGACAGGTTTTCTCTATTATGTGGCTTGATGTAAAGTGAAATAGTGTAGAACTGTATAAAGTAGCTTATATTCTGAAGGTCAGACACAATTCTGCATGCTCAGTTTTGTAGAGAAGTCTTAGATTCTGCGTGTGAAGTACTAAACTAATCAAAATAACTGTTTGCATTGTATAACCTCTTAGCTAGAGCTAGAGTGCTCTTGTCATGTCTATCTGTTTGTGATTTTTCTTTTTTCTTCTTCCTGGTAACAGCACTTAAAGTTCTTGTTACGGCACTCAGAATGTAAGACCCAATGTAGTTGAGAGTTGTCATGTGGTAATATGACATGTTCCATGTGTTTTCTCTCTCTCGTTTTTCTTCTTCCCCCCAGGCTTGTATACAATCGAACAAGTAAGATTACAGAACCACCAGATGGGGTGGATATCAGAGTCCCAGGTTTTGGGCAGACATTTTCTTTGGAGTTCCTTGACCCAAGTAAAAGAAGCGTTGGTATGTACAAGCTGTGTCTGGAGTGCTGTCTCACTTGTAGGATTTTTCTAGTGTGTCTTTATACAACAAGCTACTGAAACGTGATTTCAAATTACAGTTCTGCTTTAGAAGTAGAAAAACTGGTATTTTTTTGGTGGTAGGGTAGCATGTGGCTCACTCTGCTTTTAAGTGTTTTCATTGCATTATATCATTTTGTTTGTTGTTTGGCCTGATAGATTGAGACAAGAAGATTCCATATTATTTAGTCTTGTGCCAAATTTAAGTTTTCTGGATGAAACTCAAATAGGCACTTCAAAAATACACAGTTTTGGAAAATGAGATGGGTCAAGTAGAAAATTCTGTGACTGAAGTTTAACATCAAAACCAAAATATAACCACTTCATTTAAGCTTGGTTCTGAGTAAGATCCTTTTTGGCCTTAGGAATGAATTAATAGGCTTGGAAGATCTAGTACCATACTCTGTAGTTCCCTGTCTTTTGTTAGTGTCAGAATAATTCTATAATTGCATTTGTGCTGCAGAAGGTTTTTGCAGTAATGTGTTCACAGGAATTTTTTATTTTTTTAATAGTGTTTTTGTAGAAGTTGTCTTTTGGAAATTGCTGAATCTGATAAGCTTTTGTGAGTTGTTAGCTGTGGCTGAAGACTTGAGTAATTTGAGTGAGTAATGCACTGAGCTTTACATACTTCATGGGCTTCTTCTTTAGGAAGCAATCTACAAAGGGGTAGTAATGTGCTTACTGATCTTCACTAGATGACTCTCATAATTAGAAGAGAGCCGTATTTAAAATTGCCCCTGTGCACTTCAGGGATTATACAATAAGCATTCAAGACTAACAAGTGAGGTTTTGCTCAAAACTTAATTATGACTGTGATCAACAGGATGTTTTGACTTTTAATTTTTTAAACTGTTTCTAGATGCATTTAATTGTGGTAATACTTAAATCCTATGTGCCAAAGCTTACAATACGTAACATCTTCCAATATCTAACATAAGCTGGTCTGCAGACATTTCCCTTCTTTGCTATTAAAGTATTATGTTCAGTCATTTAAGTCTTAGCCCACTACCTGATAGATAGAAAAACGATTTTGCAATGGTTGCCATAACTTTGCCTTGGGGGTATACTGTAATCATTTGCTTCCAAGAATAAATGTTGGCCAATCTTTATTAATGTATTATCTACTCTACCTGAAGTTAATCTGCAATCAACAAAAGCTAGGACTTTTAATGTTGTAACTTCCATGGTGTATTCTTTACAGTTCAAGGGTAAGACATTTCTGCTGAAGAAAATTCATCCATTTTGTGTATACCACATTTTTCTGCCACATTTCTTTGACAGATCAGCCAACTAGTAGGAAGTATTAATAATAGTATTCTCTCACTTTCGGGTGATAGCGAGCAATAACTTGTTTTGTTTGGTATACAGCTTTCTAGATTGCCAAAGACTACAGTTTTAATGTTTGTATACATGGTATTAGAGCTAATGCCTCCAGAACTTAGCTTGTTGTGGAATAGTGTCCGCCAGCTGCTTCTAATGCTAATGTTTTCACTGTTATGTTTCTCTCTTATCCTATGTCTACAGGCAGTTACTTTTATATGCTGGTGCAGAGTTTAGTAGACTGGGGCTATAAACGTGACGAAGATGTCAGAGGAGCACCTTATGACTGGCGAAAGGCACCAAGTAAGTAACATTGTTACTTGAACACAACTTAGACTCTCCCAACCAGAAAATACTGTTTTGGGTCTCTTCTCCCCTCCCACCTCTACAGTTATACTTAATTTTGACTAGTTCTTGGGGCCTGGGTATCCCTGGACCCAGATGAAAGCTCTGTGGTATAGTTTCTTTTTTGCTTTAAACAATTTGCCTAACTTGCTACTTAGGACTTGCTTAAAAATGAAATCAGCAGCAAAAAACCCCACACCAGCAAAATGCACCCCCACAAAAACAACCACCTCTCCCACTGGAATTTCTGTGCTCTGCATTATTAGTTCCACAGACAGTGGAATTTGCACATATTTCCACCAAAAGCACAATTCTTTAAACGGTTTTTTTTTTTTGTTTGTTTGTTGGTTGCTTTTTTTTTTTTTTTTTTTTTAAGTTAAGCATTCACACTTAATTATTATACCTGTGTAACCCGTATGTTTATTTCAGATGAGAACAGAGACTATTTTGTGGCTCTTCGCAAGATGATAGAGTTAATGTATGAGCAGTATGGAAGTCCGGTTGTTTTAATCGCTCACAGTATGGGTAATATGTACACCCTCTACTTCCTCAACAATCAGACTCAAGATTGGAAAGACAAGTACATAAAGGATTATGTGTCATTAGGCGCTCCATGGGGAGGAGTGGCTAAAACTCTCCGTGTGCTGGCTTCAGGTAGGTAATTGAGAGTTTGCAATGTGTATTGTTAGTAGTGCAAGATACTAACTAGACTGTTACCTCTTAAGACTGGAGGATGAGAGTTTAAGATACTATGAAGTTAAAAGTAATTTTTTCATAAGTGATGGCAACTTGATGTTGCAAGCCCTGTGACCAGATTGTCATTCTCTATGTCCATGGGAGTGGACTGAATTTTTTTGCAGCCCTTAACCAGGAGCAGCATCCCCTCTTGACCCCATTCTCCTAACCCCTTTTCAGCAGATCACTGTGTCATTTGCTGTTTAGTGCAGTGTCTTCTATTTCTGTCATTTCTGCCTCCAGCCTGATTGTTCTCTGTTCAGTATTGCAAAGCTAACAAGGAGTCCAGAGCATTAAGTAGTTCTGTTTGATTGAAGATCACATGGCTGCTTCAGGTTAGTGTTAAGGGAAACTTGTAGACATGGTGGTGAAGTGGTGCCCGCTGCACAAATGCATGTCCAAAGTTAGTGATAAGAAAAGTGAATCTTTGACATCTTGTGTTTAGCATACTGGATATGCCCAAGCCTAAACAAAATTGAAAAAAGAAGCATAATGTATTTCACTAAATAACTGAAAATGACTGATAGAAAAAGTTTTTTACTCTACCATGTGATACCATGATTCTTTCACGTGCTTTGGCATACAGCACATGATGTTTCTGGCTTTTTTTTAAGTTTGTGTCTGACTTGTTAGCTTTGGATATCACTATCTTCTTCAACAAAGACATCCAAAACTGGACTTCATCAAAATGCAGAACACACGGCAAGTGCCAGCCATGCATGGACAGATCAAAGAATGCTTTGCTTAGCAAAGGCATTTGATTCTGAATAGTAGTGCACAGCTCAGTTAATAATTAGAGAACTTGAACTGGGTGTTTGTATTGAGTTATACATTGTTAAATCTATTGCAGTGTAAAAATTCCCTTTTCCCACAGGCTTCATCTGGCAAGTTTGCACGCTACAGAAAAGGCAGGGAGTGAGCAATGCTAATATCACCTTCATAAAATTCCACATGATTATGTAACATTCCACAGTCCCAGATTTCTGTTGGATTAAACTTTCATGTATCATATCTTTTTTATCCTTTACAATGCATCTCATCCAAAGTGATTAGTTATAAAAATGCATAATGAATAGTTGAATTTCTACCAAAATGTAGTCATCTTTTAATCTGTGTATGTCTGTGCTTTAGAGCAGAAATTTAAGTATCATGTAGGAAAGTTAAATGGGCAGAACACAATATCAGAATGTACATTTTTAGGCTAGTTCTCTCTCAAGTATCTGTAGTAAATCACCACCATCAGGCATTAACACTTGGATTACATGTGTTAGAAACTACATGGAGTTTTAAAATTAGCCTTATCAGGGTGTTCAGATACAGAAGAACTGTTGCTTTAAAGAAAGATACTACGTACCTGCAGCAAAGACAAGGCAGGCTGTGAATGCATTCTTTTCTGCTCCTATTCTTGTTTATAATATGAGTTATGGCTAGGAACTTCATGTCAAATCCACGGTTGTGTTATCAAAGTGGCAAACAGTACACAGGTGGCATTATTTTCTCTACATAATATGTGATACTTTCTGCTACTTATTCATGCGCTTTGGAGGATCAACACTGTCATTACAAATCCAGTGCCAATAAAGTGAGGATGTTCCCACTGCAATGACCTAAGACCCAAAGTTTACTGTGGAGGTTGGTTTGTTTTTTTGTCAGCTTGGGATGCTAGGAGTGTCTTCCTTAGACCTACTATTTTTGTTCGCTATAATGTCAATGAGTGTTGCGCCTGCTGACTTGAGCATGATCTTGTCCATACAGTAATTCTGCTTTTCAGGGAAAAGTAAAGGATTTGATAAGCACTTTATGACAGTTCTTTAAGAGAAGGCTGGAACAGTCAGGTTCTGTGTTTGATTATTCTACTGGAAATTAATTTTGTACACATTCCTTTCACTATTCAATTCAGAACTTGGGCTTTCCTTGCTGAAAACTGCGAAGTCATATTCAGTAACTTAGTGGTGAGAGAGTGCACAGCTCAGTATTTATACCACACAATAATATGAAACACATGTTTCAGGACTTTTGTGATTCTTGCTGTGCTCTTTGGAGTCTCCTTTTTATCTCTTTCAGAGTTATGCTAGTCAATGTTTCCATACAGTCTTCCTCAAGATGGCATTAAAGACTGTGCTTTAGGTCACCGTGCTGAAGCAACAGTGCCACCTTACGGAACTGAAAAATCTACTTCAGGGCTATTACAGGAATAGCGGTTTTGGTTTCAGTATTTCAGTTTTTATGCTGTGGCTAACCTGGATCACTGTACTGTAACCACCGGAAACAGAAAAAGGCAAATCTGATTCAAAGTTCAGCTGACAAAGGAATTGAAGTGTGCCGACCATTGTGATTATGGAAAATAGGTCATCATGAAAATGAAAACAAACTCTTACCTCAGGGCTTTTTTTTTTTTCCTTTTTTTTTTTTTTAATAATATATGCTGGTTTCTAGTAATGCTTATATCTGCCATTTATTAAGTAGCTTCTATTTTTGTGGAGATGCAAGAACAGTGGTTAAATTATGAAGAAAGGTGCATATAAATTATAATGTAGTCATGTGTTAGAGCCATCTCTGTAACATACTGCTAAGAAAACAATGGATTTGATATCTACCGAAAAATTCTTGAAATATTTTTGTCAAATACTAGTTCTGTAATAACTGTAAGTCTAAACTTGGTAAAATGTAATAATATTGTGGGGTTTGGGGTATCTTATAATTTAAGACTTGTATTGATACTAAGCTCTAGCTCTCTAGATTTGTTCTGAGCAACACAAGTATTTCAGCAATCTTGAAATGCTTATGGGAACTGCTGATGCTGGCAGTTCTCCATGGTTCTCACCAGAAGCAAACAAGCTGCAACTCATCTTTTGCTGAAGTACTATGCCTGGAGACTGAATAGGTCACCGAGTGCAGCATTCTTATTTGACATAAGCAGAGACAGTTACTCGCTTTTCTTCTGTTGCCTTGTATGATGGTTAATTTTTTGGTTAATTAGGAGTCTGCCATTTTCTCTCAGTTGTAGGCATGTTCTGGTAGGTTTCATTACAAAGGGAGCACATAAACTGGTGAAACATTATGCCAAATGGTAAATAAACTATATAATAATTTTTATAACTATTCTGAATGAAATTCTGCTGCTCTGCTTGTTTTGAACATGCAAAACTTTAGATATTTTGTTAAGCCCATAAAGTCTCTTCATGAGTTCTTAGATGTTTGTGGATAGTAGTATTTATCTGTTCTTTCAGCAAAAACCTCATCTAGGTACTGAAATCACTGTAAAACAGGTTTTCAGAAGAGCATGTAAGACAAAGCTTGCAAATGGCATAAATAATGTTTGATAAAAGCTGATTTCTTACTTTGCTCAGGCAGGAAATACTTGCTTCTCAAATGAGGAACATGTTGGAAAGGCAGCAGTGTTCTTGGTTTGTCAGTCATTCATCAATTTATATTTACATTTTAAAGTTATAAGGTGGTTTACAGAACTTAATTAGCAAGATTAAATAAATGAAGAAAAACTTTTAAAACTGTCAATAAGCAAAAGGAATGATCTTTTTTTTTGTGTTACCACTGTGAGTGATAGTAATTGCTGCTGGTTGAGAATCCTGCTTTGCATTGTATATAATGAAATTCCACCTTTTTTTTTTTTTTTAAGGTGACAACAACAGAATACCTGTTATCAGTTCACTCAAGATCAGAGACCAGCAAAGATCAGCGGTTTCCACAAATTGGATGCTCCCGTACAACTACACATGGCCTTCAGATAAGGTCTTTGTAAGAACACCTACAGCTAACTACACTCTTAGAGATTACCAGAAATTCTACAGGGACATCAATTTTGAAGATGGCTGGCTCATGAGACAAGACACTGAACCCTTGGTCTACCAGATGACACCACCTGGTGTGCGCATACACTGTCTTTATGGTACTGGCGTGGAAACACCGGATTCCTTCCATTATGAAAGTTTTCCAGACAAAGAACCCAAGATCTTTTACAGCGATGGGGATGGTACAGTAAACTTACAGAGTGCCTTGCAATGTCAAAAGTGGGTGAATATGCAAAAACAGAAAGTGGTGGTATTTGAGCTTTCAGGAAATGAGCATATTCAAATGCTGTCCAATGATACTACTATCTCCTATGTGAAAAAGCTGCTTTTTGATTTGTGATACCTTGTGTTATTTTCCTCACCTGTGATGCCTTCCCTTAAATATGGGGAAAATGCCTTTTAATCTCTTGGTATTTAGATATTTGAATTATTTATTTTCTGGGGATTTTTTTTAAGGCTGTGTTTGAGAAGTTGTTTGGTGTCCGAAATGATAGTTTGTCTCTGATTTGTGTCTATGATGCTTCATGGTATTTTTACATTCTGCAAATTTGGTCAGATATGCATTTTGGTGCCTCTGGTGTTTGTGTCCAATATCATACAGCCTTTCAATAGGAGATTGTGCAGCCCATGCACATACTACATAATATCATATACCTGAGTTCCTTCGTATGACTGTGTCTTTGCAGGGTTTGGAGTGGGAAGGCTAGGGAAGGTTGCAGTTTCAGGTGCCCATAAAACAAGGTAATGACACTAACAGTTGAGAAGCACAGTAAACTTTTTAAAAGGTCTTGCATATTCTGCTTCACAGTTCCCGGTATGTTAGTTTGTAAATGTGCACATCTACTAGGTAAAATGGGGAAGGCCTCTAGCTGGTACTATACTACCTTTGTCATAATCCATACTTGATTTTATTACAGCTTTTGGGAAGAGCGAGAGATTTGGGAAGAGAGAGTGTGAATTACTTCAAGTTCTTAAATGTCTTTAATTGGTTTGTTTTGTTTTGTTTTTGGGGTTTTTTTAAGAAGGAGAAATTGTTTGCTCATCAACTTCTAGAACCTGATTACATACAATCTGGAGTCTGAGGAATTCTTACCCTGTGCTTTATTTATCGATAGCAGAAATAAGCTGAACAGTGGTTGGTGCTTGCAATAGCCTTAGCTGTGTGAAGTAGCAGATAAATTAAAGCTAATTGAATACTGTCAAACAATCCCTCTGATGCAGAATTGCATTTCTGGGTGAAAGGTGATCTCCTGTAGTGGAAATGATAATGGATGTTGGGCATTAGTTCAAAAAGAAAAGTGAACTTGCTGAAATGGGGTGGAGAATGGAAGCCAGCATAATTAAGAATGAAGTATAAACCTTGTTCTCAGTCAAACAGTTAGGCTCTGATCCAGTTACGGACCAAGCAGTAACTGGACCAACATTGCATTCAGCTGAAAAGAAACGTTACATTTTAAGACTGAAATTCATTTCCCATAGGTTACAAGTTTCATTTTTGCTTCTTCAAGAAGTTGAGATACACTGTTTCTTAAATCAGAGAATCATAAAATGGTTTGGGTTGGAAAAGGCCTCAAGATCATCTAGTTCCACCCCCCTGCTGTAGGCAGGAACATCTCACACTAGACCATGTTGCCCAAGGCTCTGTCCAGCCTGGCCTTGAACACTGCCAGGGACGGAGCATTCACCACTTCTTTAGGCAACCTGATCCAGTGCCTCACCATCCTCACAGTAAAGAGCTTCTTTCTTATATCTAACCTCAGCTTCCCCTGTTTAAGTTAAAACCCATTACCCCTTGGTATGGGCATTAGCTCACTTCTCAAATGTGTCAGGGTCCCTCTGGATGACATCCCTTCCCTCCAGTGTATCAACTGAACCACACAGCTTAGTGTCAGTGTCACATGTTTCTAGAAATTGCTGAACATGCAATTCTGGTAACTCTTACAGTATTGTTTTACTAAATATAAAAGAAAAAGTCTAACCCTGAACTCCACAGAAATGACAGCATGAAGGCCATCATATTTACAGCCTTGGATTACAGAAGTCCTGTTGGAGAAATAGTCTCAGTCAAAGATTCTGTTTTGCTTGCTTTAAAACCAGTCACCCAGATAGACTTCACTTAGTTTTCTGAAAACACTATGCTTCCAAAATGCTAGGTCCTCCAAGGAAGGTGTTCTAAGAGTTTCAGGAACTCATCAGAACTATTGAGGATTTCTTACTTAAGACACTGAAGTAGTCTAAATGGTAAAGTTTTTAACTATTTTAGTAACATGCATTAAATATTTGCTGCCATTAAATGTATCAGTAAGATGTGTTGAAATGATAGGCTTGAAATTCTGTTACTGTAGACTGCAAACACTTTGGTGCAAGTGGTAGGATTAAGTCTTTATGTTTTAATTCAAAAATAACTTGAACAAGCAACTTGCACTAGGATCATTGATAAGCTAATTACCTTCCTAGGTTTTTAACTTCCTTCATTTTGCCTCTGCATTTTCCCTATTACTTTTGTTGAGGGAGAGTACATATTTTCCTGATTTTTAAAATGGAATGCTTATTTTGTCCTCAGTTGCCCAGGAACCTACAGTTCAGCAGCAGTATTACCCAGACTTTTCCAGAATAAGAACTTGATTGTCCTAAGCCACCGGTAACTGTTGAAAACAAAAAACCACACTCAAACCCCCAAACCAAAAAGCACAACAACAGAAAACCCACAAAAAAAGTTCTTTAGCCAAGTATTCTATTTTATGTAGGGCTGTCAGCTGGATAAGCTTCAGGCTTGTGTTCTAAGACTGCTTAAAGATGATAAACTCCTTCTGTGGTCTGACTCAACTGTTAAATACATTGCTATGTTAGTGGTTTGCAGTGGGAAGAAATTACAGAAAACAGCTCATCACAATCTCTATTTCTTGCTGAAGCAGAATGCCTGTCAATAAGCACTGGAATGAGTGGAGCTGGAGGATGTACTGCAGGATACTAACATGGGCATGAAGGGTTGAGGAAGTGAAAACAAAATGTAAATAGCTTTTAACCTGATCTAGAGAATGTTTTCTAGGCTTCCATTAAATGGTGCCATTTTCAATCTTATCCAAGAGTTTAGCTTCAGGGATTTTTGTGATTTGCAGTTCCAAAATACATAATTCCAAAATACACTCTTTATTTTGTAATTATTTTTCTTTTTAATTACTTTTTAATACTACTTTGCATCCCAAGGTGGGGAGGAATCTCCTTCTTTTCCAATTTTGGCAGCCTAGTACTGTGTTTCTCAGGTCAGTTGACTGCATCTTTAGGTTAAAAGATTTGTAAATCAGCAATCCATTAGTGGACAAGCCCTGGAGTGTGTCTCTTTAAATAAACTTCTGTTACTTAACCTGGTAAAATAAAGCTGAAAGATTTACAGGGTGGGGTTTTGGGGGGGTTGGATTATTTTGCTTGTTTGTTTAGTTTGGGTTTTTTTCTTTTTTTTTTTTTTTTTTTTTTTTTTTTTTTTTTTTTTTTTGTTTTTTGTTTTTTTTTTTTTTTTTTTTTTTTTTTTTTTTTTTTAATTTTGTGTTTGGTTTTTTGGGGGTGTTTTTTTGGTGGGTTTTTTTTTTTTTTCATTTCATTTTAATGTTGTTTGTAACTGTATAACTTTGTTGTGCAAGAGTATGTGTACCTAAGGGTTAGCACAAGCATGGTGTTTCTGGTGAGATATGATTTGGATGTGAAGGTTTTGCAGGCTATAGTTCTGGTTTATGTCCAGAAGTTGTGATTTTTCTAACAAATCATCTTCAGCTTTTTCATTTTCAGTTTCTTGCATATTAGCATGGAGTTGTCATTGAAAAGTGAATGCAGCAAGTAAACTCCAATTGTAATAATTGAAAACAAACCACTCGAAATGTTGAGAAGTGCTTATTCACTATGGCATGTTCCTCTACAAGGCAAGAGTATTTAGCATTACTGTTACAGACCTGCTAGAGCTATGTGCACTTGAGCCCTCTAGATTCTTGTGGGGGAGAGGTCTAAAAAAGTAAATCTTTAAGGAGAGGAGAACATGGCACTTCCTTAAGAGGAGTAACTCGGCTGCTTTGCCACACTACATAGCTGAAATGCTTGAATTTACTGACATCTCTTTGTTATACCTAACATATATCAATGATGTGTCTGTCTCTTTCCATAGTTTTTACTCGCTTTTATTCTTCCAGGATATTTTCAGAAACCAAAAATAGTCTTGAGGACCAAATGTGTTTCTTATTTTTGACGATATGCATAGAAAATGCTGAGGAAGCTTTCAGCTGTCATTGTAACACTTCTGAGGAGGTTCAGAGTCACTGTGTGATTCTGTTTAAAAACAGAAGGCTTCAATAACTAGCAATAATTGTAAAGGACTTGCAGACCAAAGGAAGGAATGTTTGGTACTAAGGTAGATCTTGGAGCACAGTGTGTTCAAGGCCCTCTTAAATTCAGGGAATGTTTGGCAATGACTTTGCTGCTCTACACTTAACAGTATTTTGTATGGAACATATTCTGAGACCTAGCATTTTATATGCTCTTTTTGTGTATGACTGTGTTCAATAGATTTTGAATATTTTATTGTCAAACTTTGATAACATAATAAAGTTGATCTAATATAGTTTGTCTCCTGTTGTGAATAACATGCTGTCTCACTGCTTGGATGGAATGTCAACTTTTTGGTATTCTTCCCCCACAGATTCTTGGTGTCTCATTTTTCTCACAGTAATTGCTTCTTGGTTCATCTTCCAAATGCATCTACTGTCTTGTGATCCATTTGGAGTTTTCTGTTCACTGTTCTTGGATTTATGGAGATGTGGGACTGCGATTACTCTACTTCTTTTGTTTTCTTCTTTCTTGCTCATCTTATGGAGAAAAGAAAAAAGTTCTTGAGATGCCTCACACCTCTGTTCAGGTGATCATTTTGAAATTAGTCCCTCAATCCTGAAGTGTCCCAAATGCTTGCAGTTGCCTTTTTACTGTTGGTTTCCAAACTGATCCAGCTCATGCATGTAGACCATACAGTTTTATGATTGTATTAAACAGTCTTCCTGCAATTAAAAGTAGTGCATTGTGGCTCTGAAAAAAGTCTTAACTGTAGACAATTAATCTGTAGGGGTCAAAAAAACCCCCCAAAACCTGGATGTGATCTCCCTTATGAAAGCAATCCAAAGGCCTGTTGGGCAAATATAAGTCCTCTTGTGGCTGGCCTGGATGCTTCACTAACTTGAAGTACAAATGATTGCTTATGACTCTTGAGAAAGAAGAAAAAGTAGCAAGGCTGAAAATTGCCTTGTGGGAGTTTCCTTCCCCCTGCCCCTACATGATAAAGACTGTAATACAAGATGAGCATTGGTGGCTGCTGCTCCTCTCTGTGACCTAGATCCCTATTAATTGGACATCTTGTCCCAGTACAGTTCTTGTT